TTTTTTTTATGATATAATAAAGAGCATTTGATAAAGAGAGTACCTTCTTGTATCTGAGAAGTGTCAAAGGCTTGTTGAGGCGGGTCCAGAATCCAGTGCAGATTGTGGGTCTCCAGGCTTCCTCTCCTTCACCGCCCTCTCAACATTCTTCCCGCCTCAGTTTGAAACTGTGCCTCTGTTTCTGGTATTCGGATAAGTGGGGGTGGTGGGCGTGAGAAATTGGAGCCAGATGAAATGACAAAAATGTGGGTGTCTTTTTTGCATCACTTCCTGTGTTGACATTCAAAATCCAAAAGCAGCGCCAGAACCGTAAACAATCAGACATTGTTAAAGGCGGAGACACATGAACAGTGAGATTGTGTGATATCTGTTCAGGATGCATGCCTCTATGGGTGATCCTCGCTGTAAAAAAAAAAAAAAAAATTGCATAATTAGAAGTTTATTTCTCTACAGGGAGCTCAGGCATCCCCTGATTGTGGAGTAGGACCCAAGGTAACTTAACTCCTGGAAAGACGTTTAACCAAACCTGAGCACCGTTACTAATTTCAGCATGAAAATGCATGAAGACGCCCCCTCATGCCTCTCTGTCTGGCTTCACAAACTAAGCCTTGAAAATCTAACATTCTAACAGTTTGTCATTTAATGAATAACTCACTGTTCAAGCAAGGAATGTTTTTCTTTGGTCACGTTGCACAATTATTCTTACAGGTTTCAAGAGAGCTTGAAGGGACTTGATGATGTATTAAAACTACTGATGGAAAGCTGTGATATTAAAAATCTGGCATCTCTAGTGTCACAGATATTGTTGCATGCACAAATAATTTATGATTTCTTTTTTGTTTTTATTTTTTTTAACCGTAACAATGTTAATTTTAAACAATTTTTTAATGGCAGGATATTGTTTTTGAAACTTATTTTTGACTGTCCAGTCCCACATGGTTTATATAAATTCATCATAACCATGATCGTCATATTCATTTTGTTTTCACCCTTTTCCAGGGTGGAATAATCATCTTCATTCAGTGTAATATGTTTTTATAGTAGATTTTCGCCAATCCAAACAGGGTGAACATTTTTGATGTTTTCCCCATATTCATCCATGCCCCCTAAATTACATTTTTCAAAATGTCATTTAGCAAGTTTTGTCTTGACAAGATCGTTTTTTTTACAGTTTGAAATAAACTTCTGGCATATTTCAGACTTGATATCTGACTAAATTCTGTAATACTAAATACTGTACATCCTGTTTTTGTGTTCCATACAGGCCTGGTTCAAGCAAATGTCCTGGAGGGGCGATGATGAGAAAGTTGGACGCTAGTGGCAAACTCAGTCGGTCCAACCTCACGCGCCGCGCATCAAACCTCTCCAACACACTGGGAGGATGGGCCAACACAGCTGTGAACTCTATCCGGAAACCAAACTGAAGCACACAGCCTTCAGTAGCCTTTAAAGGTGTTATTGTGATGTCACTGTTACATGTACTGAGAAACCTTCCCATAGCTGCTTGATTTTTGTCTCCTTGTATGTTTAGCATTATTTGTGAGTCTTGTTTACATGTCTCAGGTTAGCTCTGTAGGGTGAAGATCCTCATAACTACCAAAGGGATTGTGGTGTTGAAACAATATATTTTAGTTACATATCCTAACTAGTATAAAGAAATGCTGCACTATACTCAGATTGTAGCTGTAAAACTAACACTAAGTGTTCTGAGAGTGTACAGGTAGTTTGTCTTTACCATATGTGCATGTAGAAATCTTAATGTTTTTATACTCTTTTTATATTCCTTTTAATAAACCAAATTTTTATATTTTTCCTTTTTTATGTATGTGTAATGGGACCCTTTTTTTTATACATATATAGCCTAGGTAATATTTAAATGGGCACTTTCTAGCAGAGGTTGTTGCTTGCAGTGGTCTGTGAATGATTCATGCTCCAATACAGTACACATAAATCATCAGATAATGTGATGGGGGGGAAGAGCTAAAGGCTCGTTACCAGATGATGGCAGTGATGATGATGTTATGAAGAAAAATCCAGTGAGTTATTAGCGTAGTGACAGCCTCAAATGAAGCAAAACACTTTTTTTTCTTCGCTGTGCTTCCTTTTTCTGAATTAATGGGGAAGAAGGGAGAATCTGCCTAACTGTGAAAAGGAATTATACAATAAAAACTGCAAGTCAACATAAGTCTCCTTTTATATACATGTGTATAAATGCATTTGTTTGAAACGACATGTTGGGTAACCTAAAACTGTTCTTGTAAATTATTTTGAGTTAATTTGTTTTATTGCTTTCCAAATTAATAGATTCAAACATTTTGGGCTAGAAAAAAAGGGCTTGTTTTTGTTCGACAGTGAAAGGCTTTCAATTTGGCGGTCATTTATTTTGTCACACCGCTAATGCAAATGCTTTCTAGAAATCCTGAGTTGATACCTTCATAAAACCACAGTTTGTCGTAATCACAGCAGCACGTTTTTCAAGAATGTATCAGCTCTGTACATCCTAAAACTGAAATTTCTCCCCATTCCTTTTAGAATAGTTCCACATCAGTCAGATTAGATGTAAAATGTCTTTTCAGTCAGAATAAGTCTGGAAGGACATTTTCAGTTGCATGTAGGTTTGAACACATGCATGTTTTTGATATAAACCATTCTGTTTTTCTGAAAGATTAACCCTGTCTAAAGCCCTGTTTCTGAGTTTCTTTCATTACAGTACTGTCAGATACTGAGCTATTAGCATGTCATGAGACTGCCTTAGAACAGTCTTCAGTCAGAGGCCTCTTCAGATTTGTTGCTTGACTGACTGCTACCAGAGATCCTTCCTCTCCACAATATCACTATTAACACCTATTTGAAGATACTGGTTATGAGGTACAATTACATTTAATTTCCGTTTGGGATACATACAAATATTTTTGAAACTGAATTGAATTAAAGATTGTAGAAAATATTACAGCACTACTTTGCCACACGGTAAAATGTATTTTATGAGGAAAGGCACCATCGGTGGTGAAAAGCTGAGCATTTTTATTAAGATTATACTTCCCTCATGTGGTGTATTCTGGTCACATCATCTGAAAAAAATAACTGCTCGGTTTGTCCCTTGTTGGTTCCCGTTGGGTTCAGATTGCACCTCCTCCGTCTCTCCGGCTTTGTACCCAAAGCTGAACACACGCCGCGGATAGCTTCTCCAGGATACCGGGGCTGCATAACGTTGAAGAATGGCTCTCCACGTCCCCAAGGCCCCTGGCTTTGCCCAGATGTTAAAGGATGGCGCAAAGGTCAGAATAAATCGGCATGTAGATTTCTTGGAGTACTTTAAAGAGGGCAACATGGAAGTTAGCATGCTAGCTACAGCTAGCCATGAGTTAGCATGTTCATTCACAGTCATGTGGGAGCTTTCTAGAAAGAGGCAGGCCGCTTGAAGCTGGTGGTCCCGCGTCCGTAATAAAAGACAAAATTCAGTTTCTTAAACGCCTTTGACATTTCTTTATCAGCGTACATGTCAATATCTACGTCTGTTGGTTAAATGATGCTGCAATGATAAATGATTATGAAGCTGCAGGCACACCCAGTTAGCCTTCAGCTAACTGTCACCTCTGAGAGTGATGCTGTGAATGTCTAATACATCCTGTTATGGCTCGTTTCACAAGGAGCCATAAAACTCACCTTCAGTTTAAAAATAAAGTTATCTCTTTCTTTACAAGTTGTTCCACTTTTCACTAATTGCTGCGCATCTCACCAGACTTGTATATATCAATTCATATTTATTTTTTACAAAAGTTACTATAACAGGTTTCCTGCTATTTTAAAAAATAATGAAATTAGAATTTTTCATTTCCCAACTCTGGCAAAAATATTTAAAGATCTTATTTTAATCATTGTTCATTGTCCCTTTAATTAAAAAAATAAAACTTTTTTTTTGGCAAAAGTGGTTTTCGATGTTGCATTTATTTATTTGTGGATGCTGTCATTTATCTTAAATTTTACGCAGTACAACATAACATTTTGTGCAATTTATTGATTATGTTGAATTTTAAGTTACAGAATCACTAAAATATTGTTTTTTTTTTCTTTTTCTGTTTTTGACCATCTTAAATTGAGGTTTTAAATTGCACCTGGTTTAGATCCAAACAAAGCTATGTCACACACAGTTGTTAAATATTCAGAAATAAAACAGATGTATCTCAGATCTACAATTGTAATTAAAAAATCTGTATTTTCCACGTTTTACAATTGTTTTGGTGACAAGGTGCCAAAAAATAAGTAAAACAGCTCTTTATCAAATTGCTGGAATCGGCTTTGAAAGTTTACTTTATTATTTTCTAAATGTACAGATAATAAAACGTCACTAGTCAGATATTTCAAGTATGTTGGAATTGTAATATTTGTTTAAGTCCTAACGTAAATTCATAGTAAAAGTAACCACAAATTTTATATCGATATATAGCTGAAAATTTCCCTTTTTTGTAGAAGGCACACTGTAACTTACCAAAACGTTTCTTTTGTCAAAACAGCACTTTTCAGGACTTGAAGAGGCTGTCTTTCGTAACATCAGAGCTTGTAAGGAGCTTTCTCAGACCACACGCACTGCATATGGACCCAATGGTAAGCATTTTCCTCCGACAAAAATATATTCGAAGAGATAAAAAATCTAGTACCAAAATCAGATAGGCAAATAATAAAAAAAACTGTCAAATGTTCCAGGTATGAATAAAATGGTCATCAACCACCTGGAGAAGCTGTTTGTCACCAACGACGCAGCAACGATCCTCAGAGAACTTGAGGTGAAGACTCTCTGATAACCATCATGTTCTATCTGCTCAAAATTAACTGAAAAATTAATGTGTTAATTATTTCTCTTTTTTTACTTTTTTTTTTCTTTCTTTTTTTTCAAGGTGCAACACCCAGCCGCCAAAATGATAGTGATGGCGTCCCACATGCAGGAGCAGGAAGTAGGTGACGGCACCAACTTTGTGCTGGTGTTCGCTGGAGCTCTGCTGGAGCTGGCTGAAGAGCTGCTGAGGATGGGCCTGTCTGTGTCAGAGGTGATCACATGGCAGCTGCTGAACATTGTTGTCGATAGCTGCGTTTTTATTGACCATATATTTGCCCAAATTGGAATTGTGAAAATAAATTTGCTTAATGATAACATGCCGATTTAAAAAAACTCATGCTTTTTGATAAAACGTTTTTGAGCTAGGATGAAGTGGTTTTTCGGCTGTATAGAAATGTGTGTATTTTATACAAATGCAATGGAGATACTTTTCGCATCATGTGAGTCATGTGATCAATAGCCTGATGTTACTGCTGGCAGAAAAGACAAAGAAGACGACAGGAAAAAGGATAGTGATGTTTTTAAATGACTGATCATGTGTGACTTTATTGCATTTCTTATTTAGTGGAAACAACACTGTTGTGAAATTGTGTTTTTTGGACATAAGCGGAATGTCAACAAAGTTTGACGGATATTTGTAATGAAAACAGTCAAGTTGGAAACTAGTAATTAATGGAACTATATTTGCTCCTGCATATAGATATATTACTGCCAAGTCATATTCCATTTTTAGAGACTACATTAAAGTGTTTGGTCACATATAGTTTTTTTTTTTTTTTTTTTTTTTTTTTTTACATTGTTGCCTATAATGCCAGTGAATGTAGCCATAGCTGTGTGTTTAACAGCAGAAAGCATATGCAGCTTTTCCCCCACTCCATCACCATAATGTTTTCCTCTGACCTCAGGTCATTGATGGTTATGAGAAAGCGTGTAAAAAGACTCTGGAGATCCTTCCAGACTGCATATGCTCCTCTGCCAAAAACCTCCATGACATTACCGAGGCCACGGCTGTCATCCGTACAGCGGTTATGAGTAAACAGTACGGTAACGAAGACTTCCTCGCCAACCTCATCGCACAGGCCTGTGGTGAGTTGGCAACTTAGACAACCTCAATCAGCTCATCTGTAAAAACGGGTTGACAGCAGTGTCTGACTGTTTTTTGTTTGGTTTGTTTTTCAGTATCCATTTTCCCAGAGTCTGGCAGTTTCAATGTTGACAATGTCAGAGTTTGCAAAATTTTGGTGAGTGGCTGTTTTTGTTTAATATTGGGGGGGTTTACGTTTGAGGTTGTTTTCTTATAAATATTTGAATCCGTTTTGTGTTTAGGGTTGTGGAGTGACGGCATCCACCGTGCTGCATGGGATGGTTTTTAAGAAGGAAGCAGAGGGAGACATCACATCTGTTAAAGACGCCAAGATCGCCGTGTTCTCCTGTCCCTTTGACTGCATGGTGACAGAGACCAAGGTAACAGACTTTTAAAAGAAAAAAGTTTGGGTTTTTTTGTTATAATTCTTTCATTCTGCTGTATTTGTGATTGTTGATGTTTCCTTGACTCGTTAAATTCGTCATGGCCCATTCAGTTTTATTCTCAAACCAGATACAGACTCAAAAAAGCCCATTGGCTAACAGACAAATGTACTCAGAACATTAATTAAGCTAAAATTATGGAAAAAAAAATATATAATTGCATTATATTTGTTTTCCAATTTTAAAAAGAAGTTGTTTTGTTTATTTGCATCTCTTAATGTATTTCTAATATTGTATAGAAAAGCTTAACTGGTTAACTGAAAAATCTACAGGAAGTGTCAGTTTTTATCTGAATAATCATCGATTACTAATATAATCGTTGTTGCTACTCTAATAATGCTCTTGGAAACTATATCCTCTTGCATTAGGTATATGACAAAATTAACAGTCCATGTGTTTTGTGTTTGCTCATAGAGCTTTGAGTTATTAAAACATTTTATAGCAAATCATTTCCATCTATTATGAGTCCCATGTTTGAATTTCTGTTAAAATAGACGGCAGCATTTTAATGTGTCACGGCTTAAATTCTGCTGAAGTTTCTTGGTTGGTTCCTAAAAGCAGCGCTGCTTGCTCCACAGGGCACAGTGCTGATAAATAGTGCGCAGGAGCTGATGAACTTCAGCAAAGGGGAGGAGGACATGATGGAGGTGCAGGTGAAGGCCATCAAGGAGGCTGGAGCCAATGTGGTGGTAACTGGAGGCAAAGTGGCTGACATGGCTCTGCATTACGCCAACAAGTACAAGCTCATGGTGGTCAGGTAGGAACACAGAGGCTCAGGTGATAAGATTTAAAGTGAAAGCAAAAAAGGAGCAATTTTAAAACAATTGGACATCCTGGATTTTATACTGAGAAGGTTGGTTACAATTGGAAAACATTCAAGACTGTTACTAACTTTCTCTGGTAAGTGTTAAAGTGCTGGACACTAAAATAAAAAATAAAAAAAACATTGGAGTTAAAACCAATAAATTAGCAGAACTTTGGTTTGGAAAATTGCTGAACCAGTCACTAAATTCATGGACAGTGTCCTGTAGACAGACTGAAACAAAGTAGATATGTTTACCATAATGCATAGTGCCATCACACAATACATGAACACATCCTTGAATTATCCTTGAATTGAAAAAAACATGCTTTCCTTTTTACCATAGCTTTATTCTCAAGTTTTAGTTTTAAATCTTTCCTGCAGACTGAACTCCAAATGGGATCTCAGAAGGTTATGCAAGACCGTGGGAGCTGTAGCTCTGCCCAAAATGGTGAGTTTACTCATGTTTTACTGTCTTCAGATATGGGAACTGTAACCAAACTAACCTTAACGTCATCCACTCTTAGATGGCCCCGACTCCGGACGAGATGGGTCACTGCGACAACGTCTACCTCACAGAGGTGGGAGACACTCAGGTGGTGGTCTTCAAACACGGCAAGTCTCTTTTTCTTAAATTTACAAATTTAGACCAGATTTATCCTTTAGGACTTTTATGCATGACTTATTGTTTGCTGCGTTCTTTAACAGAGAAAGAAGATGGCACCATCTCGACGGTGGTCATCAGAGGCTCCACTGACAATCTGATGGACGACATTGAGAGGGCTGTGGATGACGGTGTTAATACCTTCAAGGTTCTGGTCAGGGTAAGTAACTTGTAGAATAAGACTGTCAGCTCAGCAGCCGTGAGACAGGTGCTACAGTTCCCCTCTTCTTCTCCCTCTGCAGGACAAACGACTGGTACCCGGAGCAGGAGCCACAGAGATCGAGCTGGCCAAGCAGATCACCTCATTTGGAGAGGTAACAGAGAGTCGAGTTCTGCTGTTTTATCATTTGATGTCCACATCATCCCAACCTTACATATATTACCTGTCTCTGTAGTCCTGCCCTGGGCTGGAGCAGTACGCCATCAAAAAGTTTGCTGAAGCCTTCGAGGTGTTGCCGCGGGCGTTGGCCGAGAACTCCGGAGTGAAGGGGAACGAACTCATCTCTAAGCTGTATTCTGCTCATCATGAGGGAAACAAAAACATCGGTTTTGACATCGAGGTGAGGAGATGGAGATGAACTATAATTTCAATTCATTTTAATTAAAAACCTACTATTTGAAGCAGCTGATGGTGTGACTGCCCTGTAGGGAGAAGGTCCAGCTGTGAAGGACATGCTTGAGGCCGGCATTCTGGACCCCTACCTGGTGAAACACTGGGCCATCAGACTAGCCACCAACGCTGCCATAACAGTGCTGAGAGTGGATCAGGTCTGTATAAACACATGGAAAAATATAAAAGTTACTCCAGCTGATATTGAAAGGAGTTGCTTTCTATAGTTGCTTAATTAAAAAGACAGATTGATTAGGTTTTTCCTTTCATAAGGATCTTCTTCCTGTCGACATGGTAATAACTTATCTTTCTGCAGCAGCAGTCTAATGACGAAAGTCCAGATAGATGATTTAGTATGTATGTATATGATCCAGATCATCATGGCTAAGGCTGCAGGGGGACCCAAGACTCCCAAGCAGAGAGGCCACTGGGACAAAGACGGTTGGGATGAGGAGCCTGATCATTTTGAAACCCACCATTAGAGGGCGTACTTGTACTCATAAAGCGCTCTGTCAGTAGGTCTCCGAACAGAAAAGTTGCTGGCTCACAGAACACTGACAGTGTTTGGACTCTCACTACTAATGTTGAATTTCACCCCAAAACGTTTTTAAGAGATTTAACTTTTCCCAAGTGTGTCTCTAACAACACTAGGTTTGCAGCTGTGTGAAACTGCACAAAATAGTGAATGGTGTGACGGCATGCTGCATGTACGACTGGAAACGGCGCAGGATCAAAATGATAGTGGAGTGGAGAATTTTGACATGCTCAGTTGACTTAGAGATTTTTGATGTATAAATATTAGCACTTGGACTGGAATGAGAAATTGCTAAATCTGACCTTTTAGTAACATGTGGCCACATTATAGCTTGTCTTGTGACATAATCCTACAAGAAAATTAACTTTCCTCAACTTTCCTTGAGGTATTCCAGGAGCTGTGTTGAACTCAATGCTCTTATTTACATTTAGAAAATATATTAAATTATTATTTTTTTCTTTTCCAGATTATCATGGCCAAACCAGCAGGTGGACCCAAACCTCCCCAAGGCAACAGGGACTTTGATGATGATGACTGAACCTAAAGCTTCCCATCTTAAGTTCCTGCTGCATTCATAAACCTTTTCTACTTGTTTATTTAAAGCTCAACTGTTTGGTTTATTTTGTAGAGAACCTCTGGTTGCATGGATCAACATCATATGTGGAAGAAGAAAGTACAGATGGCTCTGTTTGCTTTTTATGTTCCTAGGTCCCAAATAAAAGGCACTTGTGCTGTCAACTACTGGCTTGGATTTTCCTCATTTTGTGGTTTTGATATGATGCAGGGTATGTTTTTAGAAAACAACCCTTTAACCTTTTTTATTTTTTTCATTCCAAAACCATGGAATAGAAAAAAATGTGCATATTTGTGTTGTATATTTGCTGAATAAAATATACAACTGCTTTTTCATTAATGTTCTCTAATAAATCAATTCATTTTTGTTAAATGAACTTAAAGATATTTTTAATTTGTTGGACTGCTTTAACACAAGGTAGTGGTTTTATAGAGAAGATTATTGAAAAAAAATACCTTTAACAGGGCTATGTTCTGATTTTAAAAAATACATTTAAGATATTGCACTGTGTTTAGCTTAATTTTGTGTAAATTGTGAATTTTCTTTAATCCTACTCTGAAGGTTTGTCATTTACAGGCTGAAACCGTAGACAATTCTGCAACCTGTGGCTTAATTTCAGTAATTAATCTCGCAATATTTCACTGAACGCTTTGTTTGTTTACAGTGATTATGGATTTCTTAAAATCACAACTGAATCCAAGCGATTTTGAGGAATTCAGATGTAGTTTTAATTACACCGACCAGCAGATGGCGCTAAAGTCTCTGGACGGCCGAGATGTGGGCGGATTTGCTCTGACGTTGCCCACATTTGGGATTAACTTGCTTTTTTTTATGTCGCCATATCCCTCGTATTTTTTGCAACGGAGGCCAGATGAGCTGATGATATTGAAAAATATCACTTTCCTTCAGTAGGCCTGAATCGTTTCAGCCATCTCTGTGCGTTGGGTTTTGGAAATGGGACGGGAATGTCCTGCGGCGCATATTGAGAGGCTGACTGAGGAGCAGCAGACGTCGCACTGACTGAGCCTACTGCGCCGATGTTCCCTTACGCTGATAATAATTATAATAATAATGGGGGCAGACGGAAGTAAAAACAGGAAGGTGAGTCGAATGGAACTCCTGGTTGCTAAGGTGTGGCGCTCTCTGTTTCTATGGCGATGGTTTGGTGACCAGGATGCAAAGTCGGTTTCTGTACAACTAGAACACACGGCTCCGTTTCACCTTGTTTTAAATCAGCATGCGAAACTAAAGTATTACATTTTCGTTAAGGATTTACCTACATAATCAATAAAATATTTCCACAAGAATCCCGCTCCTATAGCATCAAGATTTTACTTTGAAGGTCTAAAAAAACAACCTCCCTACACATAATTTATTTCCAGATAAAAAATATTGATACAAAAGGCCAACTGCATCCTGTGTCTGTGGCAGTATTGGGTTTATATGTGTTTTTTATTGTAGGCCATATAACTTTTCCTGTCTGAGAGATCGGTGCTGCTGTGTAATGAATTATGGTTTTGATAAAAATAGTAGTACTGCATGCATATATATTTCCCCCGATTCTATGCAAATCTGACCAACCAAACAGAGATATAAAAAGCTTATGAAAAAATATTGATTAAATTAAATTGGTTAAAAAAAATTAAAACTGTCCTGGTCAGAACCAGAAGTTGGGGGAAAGCAATCTAAAAACAAAGATGGAGAATTAAAGGATCTACAATCCCATTACAAACCTTTTACAAATCTTTTTTTTTAACCAAAAACTACCCTGTGCAACATTTTCATGTGGAAATGACAAAGCGTTCCAAAAGAAGAAATGCCTGTGGAATTCCTGTGCATCAGGAATGAATCATCTTCTGCCTAAAATTATTCAGAAATTCTTAAGAATGAGCATTTATTTCTGATATGGGCATTTTTCTAACTCAG